GCAGTTTGTGGTCATGAAATGTTGTTTCCGATGGACTTAGCCATGTCAAAATGTCCAGTGGTTGTCCCATCCAGCAAGTCGTCTGGCTGGAACTTGAGAAATCGACGTAGATTTATGTATCATGTAAATATTTTATATAGACAAAGTCAACTAACGAATCTATGGCTGTTGTGTTATTAATTAAGCTGTTTTGTTGCACAATTTGTTGTTTATGAGAGAGTCGTTGAACCTGAATGCAAGGTAAAAGCTATCAAGCGTTAGTTAATGTAATAATGACAAACCGCAGCAGTAATCAACAGCACTCATTTAAGCTTGCTCGCCCTCTGTGTGTGTGCGCTCTGTCTATATACAAATTTGTATATTAATATGTATATAAATATACATACATACATATGTGCGGCCAAATGTGTGCAATTTACGTCAGAGCTGTGGTAGCCACGGCAACAGTCGAAATTAGCAGCAATAAGTGCGAAGCTAGCATTATTTGTAGCCACTCTCGGCTTACGCTGCGTATGCGCGATGTGCAAGCAAGTTACGTATACGCAACGTGTGCTAGCCAAAGTCACACACACACACTCACACACACACACACATGTGTATGTGTGTATACCAGTGAGTGCAATTCAAGGCTTAACTTGGATTAATTACAATTAAATGTAATTTTATTGATTTTGTTTGTATTGCTCTCAAAGTAAAATGGAATCAAAATATGAAAATTTATTTAATACTTTTATGAAATAAAATCAAAGTGAAATTCTCTGGATTGCCGTTAATATTGTATAATAATTCATGTTGTCTACACTGCGTATATGTATCACAGACAAATTGAATTACTAATTGCATTAACTAATGAGGCCGAGGAGTGAGAAGAGAAGAAGAAGCAGCGTTACGTATACGCACTGTGCGACTGCTCAAGTAATTATTTTGTAGCTTTTCCTGCATATTGTATTTCGTTTACAAATTATTTTGTATTTTATAAATGATACGCGATACGAGTTCAATGCAAGTTTTCTTCCCTTGCATTAGTAGCGTCGCATATTCATTGTGTGCGGGAACGGCGACATCATGGGCAGGAAGCGTGACTAGGGTCAGGCCCAACACTTTCAAGCCGCAGTGCTTGGCAATAATAACCTAAACAAGTGAATGCATCAGTGAGTTTGATGAGGACTCTGTCGACGGGACTCACCTCTGGCACCATGGACATGCCGATGACATCGGCTCCAATTTTGCGAAAGAAGCGCTGCTCGGCCGCCGTTTCGTAGGCGGGGCCGCCTACGCAGACATAGACGCCTGTCTTTACCCGGTTATCTTGCCCGATTTCCCGACTGATTTCCGTTGTCTTGGCGAGCAGCATCTCGTCGTAGGCATCGATTATCGAGGGGTTACGCTGGCCGAAGCGCGCGTCGTTGAGGCCAACCAACGGGCAGCTGCCACACCAGCTCATAATGTTGATGTGGTCCTTGATAGCCACAACGTCGCCCACATTGTGCTCCGCACTGACCGCCCCCGCAGAGCAGATGATAATCAGGTACTCGACGCCACACAGCTTGAACATGCGCACAGGTAACGTACAGCTGCCCACCGGGTTGCCTTCGTAGAAGTGCATTCGTCCCTGGGCAGCGATCACTGTGCCGCCCATGATCTGGCCCACGAACAGCTTGGAGTTGTTGCCGCGCAGTTGGCTGACCGGGAACTTCGGTATGTCCGTATACTGAAGTACCACCGGACTCTCGACCAGGTCGGCCAGCATGTTCACATGCGAGCTGAGGATCAAGCCGAACTTTGGTTTCTTCTCCGTTCTGTTGATTATGAAATTGGCCATCTTTTGCACATCGTCGAAGCTGTAGAGCTCTCCCTGTGGCGTCTCAATGATGTCCTTGGGCTTCGCATTGGCCTCCTCCTGCAGCCGCTTCTCAATCAGCAGCTTCATTCGACGTATCTGCAAAGCCGTCTTGAGCTCGCAGCAATCCCTATTACACATTTTGATGTTGCGATTCATTTTGGGACAGTTACTGGGATGCGGGCGGCTCAAGAGGCTTTCAAATTTTGCTTTTCACTTGATAGAGTTTTTTTTTATTCCCTCACTTACATGCTCAAATTAAAAATTAAAAAATCTTTGGCGTTACGATGAGCAACTGCTTTGTTTTCCGTGCTTCTTTTCTTTTTCATAGCCATTAAGGAATGAGCTCATCGCTAAATCTATATACATAGGCAATAAACTATTCTACTTATGATACATGATACATTTCCCGTAAAAATGTACATATAGCGGTGAAAACTCCGTGAGAAAGACTCTTGTCTACCATAAATTCGATTTGCTTACTCCCAAGAGCCAATATACCCAGTTTACTCTGCGAGCGAGCATAAAAGGTCGCTCAGTCGAACGAACTCAGCGGCTCAAGAGCTCTGGCCTCATTCGGAATGATATTCTGTAGCCCTATAAAAGGCGAGCCTAGAGCAGAGTTGCTTCAGTTGGATCGCTTATCTCCTGCTGGATTAGTTGAAGTGAAGTGGAATTGTGGTATTTATTAATAAAATATTGTATTCAATAATTAATTGATAAATGTTAAGTATTTTAAATATATTTAGTTGCTATGTTAAATAGTTAAAATAATAATTTCTATTGTTAACCTTTATATATAAAAATTGCTATAATAATGATGCTAATTGTTAAACTAATGATGATAGTAGTGATCATTGTGATAATGATGTTTATTATAATAGTATCGCATCATGATATTGCTGATCGTCAAATCATGTTTATAATGATCATCAAGTTGATAATGCTCATCATACTAATGATCAGCAGCCTTAAAATAATTGTAATCTGCTGCAGTATGCTAATCATATTACGATTATGCTAGTTCATCTTCATCATAATGATTATTGTGATTTTTGTAATGCTCATGATATTAGTTAGCAATAGAGAATGTGTTAAATGTCTTCTGTTGCTTTTAGTTAACATATTTCATTCGGATTTGAAGTCTCTTCCATTTTCGTGCATTTTTGTCGCAGCTTATTACGTATTTACTATTTGAATTTGATGATAAACAAAAGCTACGTCTCAGCGATTCCAACATCGGGTCGGACTTGTAATTTATATCATCGCATTGATTATAATCTTTGCGGTTCGATCGAAGCCAGCGCAGCAGCAATGTCAACAGCGAATGCTTAGCGAACGTGACTTTGTAGGCGGCAGCAGCAACAATATAAAGCAAACAACAACTACAACAACACTACTCAAATAACAAAGCGCTGCAAAGTTTTCTATTTCAGTTTTGTTGTTGCTTTGCGCTTCGAATTTGTTATTGTAAAATTAATAAATTTATAGCGACGGGCAAACGCTTCAGCGATTCACTCAGTGCCAGCGACTCTGATCCGCTGCCCACTCTATATATAGCTATGTAAATATGTGGGCGTGGCTGAAGGCTGTGCCACGCCCAGTCGATCTGTCAAGCAGCACTCACAATTTCCAGCTGCGGCTGTTGACAGATGCGCGCCGAAAAAAACCGCATGAACAAAAAGAAAAAAAACAAGTAAAACGGCTTTATGGCAGAGAGCACGACTATGGGGATACCTTAGCTATGGAAAACTCGTTTCGTGATACAGTCATAGTCGACTTATACCTTCTGTTCCTATGTAGTCTTATATCGTATTAGACTCCCTATTATACACGAAGAACAACTATCTATTCGTATACCTAGCCATGGATGAGTGGAAGTTCTTTTGCAGTGAAACCAATATACTCTCTTTGGCGTTTTGCTATGGGTGCAGGGCAGAAAAATTTATAAAAAAAATTTGACTTGTGGCGGTGACTGTTGACAGATTGTTGTTGCGGCATCTGTTGTTGTTTATTGGTTTACCCTATTAATTAGCAAAGAAATAACTTATAATGGCATCCACTGGCCAGCAGCCAGCAGCCAGCAGCCAGCAGCCAAGAGCCAACACCCAGACAGAAAATGAACGACAACAATTTGAATTGTTTATCAGGCAGGCCACATGCATTTTGTTTATCCCCACAGAGAGCAAGAGAGGGGGAGGCAGGAAGAAGGGCAAACAGAATGCAAATGAGGCTGACTACAAGCATAAATATTCTGTGTATTCTGTGTAGAGCAACAAGTACAACGGCAACAACTAGTTCTAGAATGGCAAAAGTACTTTGCCTGATATTCAATGATGTCGGCCAACAGGTCGTATGCTTGTGTTTTCATTTGGATCACGTATACGCATGGTAAACATCTGATTGGTGCCAAAACAAAAGATAGTGCTCGAAATAATATGATTAATTGCGATCTACGTGTTTCATTTATGTTTTGCAACAGCTCCTTCCACATTGCACACAAAAATCCTCTTTTGTTTCAGTTGTTTTCACATGACTCACAATGAACAATTAAGCTGCTTATTAAGGTTACAAATTACACAAAGGAATATTTTATATATGCTTGTATGTATGTATAAACATATATATATGTATTTGACATGATATAAGTATATGTAAAGAGGGACGCTCTAAAACCCAGCTGAAAAGTAAACGTCATTCGACTTTTGATTCTCGTACATGCCGAACCTAACTGAGTCATCAGGCTTTCATGCCCTTGTTCAGATGTGTGCAGGCGTGGCAGATGCCATTGAGTAAACATACTGTTGAGCAGGGGGACGCCATGGCCCATCCATCCCATTATCTAGAGAGCTTAAATTTAATATATATTATATAATTTAATATATTAATTATGATTATGTCCTTGGCAGTCCCTTCATACACGTTTACATTCGGACGTAAAATGCTCTGAAAACTTTATTAATCGAGCAAGTTTACAAGTTATTCAATAACTCAAAACTAGCTGAAAGAGCAGTGCTGGGCGGGGTATTCGCTAGTCGGACCCTACCGACTGGACTGCTTTTATCTGTTTGTCTTTGCCATAATCTAGCTTTGGCTTTGCATATATGATAATGTCGTATTTTATTTAGCATAGCTAACAGTTTCGTTCCTCTTTTTGCAGTTATCTCGCTCGCCAGACGTGAGTGAGAGTGATTTCGGCCAGGCGACTAGCTGATACCAATGAAAACCAATGCAAACAACAGTTGCAATTATATTAGTAGTGCATGCGGCGAGTCAAGCGTTGCTAGAGAACAGCTGAAGAGGAGGGTGAAGCGCGAGCATCGCAGCCATACGTACAAGTGTTTGAATCATAATCCGTTAACAAGGCTCAAGCTGCTTGCTCAGCGACGCCAGCGACTGCAGCCTCTGTTTGAAGTTTAGCTACAAAAGCAGCTCCTGACCAAGAGCCGAAGTTCAAGTTGTTGACGTTTCTGCCTTTCTTTGACTTGTTTCCATTTACTCTGGCTGCAGCTTTGTTGTTGCCCCACGTTTCGACGACCGCCTGTTGCACAAAAGTCAAAGCCAAGGCAGTTGCCTTAATTGCCCCGACAACCACAGCAACAGCAACAGCAACAGCAACAAAAACATCAACAACAACAATCAGCGAGGAGAGTAAAGAGACGTTCCACCGAAAACGAAATTCTGCAAGTGAAAACTTACTTTATAATCAAGCGGCGCACTGAGCGAGCGAGCGAGCGAGCGAGAGAGAGCGAGAGCGAGAGAGATTGTGAATGACAACGAGTCGCGCAGCTCCTTTAGCTATAAAGCGGCCAAGCTGACTCTGACGAGTTTCCTTTACAGTAAAAAACCAGTAAGTGTAACTGGAACTGGTATTCGTCGACTCACACATATATACAATTAATATTATCAGCGATTCACACATATATACACTTATATATACGTACGCACACACACCAATGTACTGGGCTGTTGATTATTACGCGGAAATGGGACAAATCTCACAAGATGTAAGTAAAATAATTATATATATCTAATTCTGTACTATATAATAGCTAAAATCTCAATGAATTTCAAACTTGATCCCAGTCTTCAGATATTGGTAGTCTTAAATATTTTCAGAACGAAACGGGCACTGAAACTGTTTGGTTTCATTACGCTCGCCAAATATGATTTGATTTTATTTGACACTTTATCTACCGCAAACCACAATCGTTGGGGTCGACCCAGTTAATGTCCTAATTTTTTGAAATTCAACAACTAATTTGCCTTCGGGATCGATCCATAGGATTAAATTCGCAATTATGCTTAGCCCCTATTCAAAATTGTTCGCATTTATTACAATTATTTCGCTGATTGCGAATGGATTCATGTGTAATTGAGTGCCACAAAACTGTTGCCACAGACGGTTGCATGCAGAGCGAAAGAGGGGCAAGGGAGGCAGAGGCTGTGTTTGCCACGTGCAAATCGATTAAACGGCTCTAAGGGAAATCAACAATCAAAATGAGCTGCTCTCGTCTGTTTGTTTCGGGCTTTCGGTGTAATTCATGTACTAACTGAATTTTTGCAGATTGCTGCGGGCCAGTTCAACTCTCTGTCTATACACACACACACACACACACACACACGTGTGCTCCCACACACATTCCTACACGAAGTTAAGTTGTGCAACAGAAATCAGATTCGAGTTTTGTTTCATTGTAAAGTCTAGACTAATTAGAGATACAAATATGTTTCGCATATCATGTCATAATTGTAGTTAAATTAATTAATGCTAGCAACACGTATATTTGCCTTGTTCAGATGAAAGTGGACAGAGAGATTGTATAAAAGAGACAGAGAGAGAGAGAGAGAGAGAGAGAGGAAGGGAGGGAGAGAGATTCCCTTTGTCGGCATCCACTCTTCCCTCCTGCCCCTTCTGCTCTCTCTTTGACTTCAAATTTTAATATTTTTGAAACAGAAAAAAATAGAAAAAACTCCGTAAAAAGCAATGCTCACATTTAAATACTCTAGCATAATAACAAAAATAAAAGAAGTAAGAAACGAATAATAGTAATAATAGACTATAGTAAAATATATAATTGTTTCAATAAATACTATTTTAAGTGAAAATATAACTTTCAAATCATAAATAGATCTGTAAAGATAATGCATTTAATCTCAGTTTAAAATTGGAAAGAAAGTAACATTTACAACTAGCAAAACACTCTTCTGCAGACCTAACTAAAGCTAGGGTATACAAATAAAAAGAGAAGAGATGCATGCATACCTTTATGATATGCATGCCACATGTATTTTTCATTTAGCAGCAAACAAATAGTTTTGCTAGACAATGCAGGATGGATTTCGCTTCAACAATATTATCACAATTCAGCAAAAAAGGAGAGGAGCGAATAAGCTGAATCCATGTGGATTTTCACTATAACAGCGGGTGAAATTCTATGAAATAAAAGTTTTAATTGGAAGAGAATAAAAGGAGAATTTCAAACTGCGCAATTCGTATGCTGATTTTTAGTTTATTTTTGGGCTAGTTTGATAAGCTGTAGAAAGCTTCAGAATTATTCGGTTTCTGTTATTTGTAGCAATGGAAATTAAAACGATAACAATATATTTATTATATACATATATCTATATGCCCGCATTTGAATGAATTTTGAGAAGAAAATATTGTGTAGCCGAACGAAACTAGGTCAATTCATCTGTTGCATAGGGACAGCAAGACAGAAAGAGAGTGAGAGTGAGAGAGAGAGGGAGAACTTGATAAACATACTGAATAAATTAAACACAAAGGGAGAGAAGACTCTTAGAGATAGAGGATAGAGAAGCAGACAGAGGGATAGAATGAATTGACAGACACAAACATGCAGATAGAGGGGCAGAGAGGGTAAATAGAGTCGTAAAAAGATTGAGTAATCTCTTTAGATTCTCTATTTCATTAAAATGTTACCCCATAAAATATAGGATATCTATTTCTCAGGCCAATTAATTAAGAAATAAATACTACATAAAATCATATTGAAATCTCCTGATTAAAAAATTAACTTTCACTTTGCATTCTTATAAATCAGTGGGGAATATTTGGTTGGCATTTACGAGTCCTTAAAAAAGTTTATAAACTCAGCCAATTTAATATAATAAGAATATAAATTTAAATATGCATAAAAAAACCGTAGAAAAGAAACGAATAAAGTCGAATATTTATTTCTATTATTGAGTTTAGCTGACTAAATGGCACGCACATGCCATATAGATAGATGTTCTATTTATTCTTTTTTATAGCTTCTCGCACATAAACATATACTATATAAATAAATTTATAAATAACAAAAATACATTTGAATCATGTCGCAATGCGAGGCGAAGCGCGTTAGATAAATTTGTATACTAAATATTTCGATTTACTTCCGCATCTGCAATTAAATTGCACAAATCATGAGATGCAATGTTGAAAATGCTTAAAACGCTGAAAATGCTGAAAATGTTGGCGAATTCGAATTCGTTTTGCGTCGATCTAAAGTGTAACCAAAACTAATCTGATGCAATTTTCCGTTGCGCATTTCGGCCAGATGGTGAATCAGACACGCAGATGGTCATTCGGTCTAGATAAGCAGAGGCTGCATTAGTCAACCATTAAATTTAGTCAATCAGACAGTCACAGTATCTAAATATATGTATGTCTCACAAACACTATATCACTATCAGTCAATCAATCTGGCAATCAGTTGGGCAATCAGCTAGTATAAGGAATTCGGTTAATTTAGATTTCAATCACATTTTAGTGAAACAGACTGAAAAGTCAGTTAGTTTGTCGTCAAACAATCAATCAATTAGATAATCATTTAGTCAATTCACGTTAGTCAGTCACCCTGTAGAAATGTCAATCAGTAAATATTACCGAATAAGTCAGATGGAAGAGATGTATTACTCTCACTTATTTAGGCAATCAGTCGAACTGCTCTCTCTCAGCCCTTCTATTCAGCTCTCTCACTAGGTCAAGCAATCAATCAGGAACTGCTGTCAGTCAGACATATATCAATATCTCTTAGTCAGTCAGTCCCTCTGTCAGTCAGTCAGTGTGCCATGTCGTTATTCCGTCACTCAGCAAATGACTTTTGGATTATTGCCAGAGTGCGAATGGTGCACATCTGTTTATTTTGATATTGTTGCCCATCGCTCTGTGTATTTTTATACAATTTTCATTTATATCAAAGGCTAAACCATCTCCGCGTTACATAAATACGGGGCACTTTCTATCCATCCCTATAGTTCCTTGGCTACGGTTATTTGTCGCTGATTCAGTCTCTAATGAATAAAGCAAAATCATAGCGTGTATAAGTATGCCAAGTCTTATCAATAAACTGTTATCAGGGCGAGGAGCAGCTGGGACTTGGCTGTCTGTCCGTTTACTGTTAGTTCAACTACAGTTGTTGTTGCTGCTGTTGCTGCTGTTGCTGCTGTTGTCGTAGTCATCGCTGTGGCTGCCGTTGTCGTCGCTATTACTGGCAATAATATGCACCCTAATAATAATTTGCCACACTTTGCCGCACTTGTGTTTAGTCTGTTCGTGTCTTTGTGTTTGTATTGCTATTGTTTTGCCTTTAGAGCTTCGATTGTTTGCACTTTATCAGTAGACAAAGTGTCGCAGCAACTGAGTGCCAGACAAGCACACATACACACGCACACACGAACTTACACAGTGACTAACTAATACCCACCCACACACCCACACACACACACAGTGCTGTTAACTATCTAACGTTAAAACAAATGGCAGATGGAAATCAGAAAGGCGGACAAAAGACGTGCAAGAGGAAATTAAAGAAAGCAGACAAAAAAAAAAATAGTTTCTTATCAGGTTTTAAATTTGTAGTAATTCGTTTCGTTTTTTAATTTATACAGTTACTTTCATTTACTTCAGTATTATTGTTAGAATTTATTATTATTATTATTATAAGAGAAGGGAAAAATCCTTGTTCGACAAAGTCAAGAAAAGAATGCAAAAAATCGATAAGTTGGACAGCCAGTAAAAAGTGAAATGGCAAAGGCAGCTAACAACAGGCTGGAAAAAGGATTAAAAGGTTTTCACCAAAGAGACAGAGTGCACTTTGAAAACTAGCTAAAAAAGGCTAAATTTGTCTGGCAAAATTGGCTACATGGACAGCACAGAGACACACACACACACACACACACACACACTCACACTCACGCACACATAGAGAGCGAGGAGTTTGTCAATATTGGCAGTTGCTAGACACTTGCAAACATGTATAGTACTTACCGATACCATGCAACTGAGTGTAAATACATACATACATATAAATGTATATATAGATATACTCATAAGAACTGGATGCCATATTCCGCCTGCATTTGCAAAAAAAGAAACAAGAGCTGCAGAAAAATACAGTGGCTCGACTGTGTAAAACAATACCAAAAACAACAAAACAAAAACAAAAAGAAGAAGAGTAAGGGAAACACACAAGGTAAATAGAGATAAGCGAAAGAGTTTTTAAATTGTGTTTTGGCAGAGTGCCTGAAAAGGTTTTGTTATACTCCAAATATTTGAACAGCAAACTGAATGAATGCAGTTGATTAATTGAATAATATACAGTGATTGCGATGCGTATAAGAATATAACGGAGATATGGCTACGGCATAGGATGCAGCTGCTCTGCTCATTGTTCTCGCTGTAAGTGGAACAGCACACAATTCTCACTATATACACATGTATATATATATAAATAGACATACTTGTATGAGAGGCATGTATGTACATGCGCCTACATTCATATGCAAATAAACCTAAATTAATATGCTAAGCTCCAACTATAAGCTGAACAAAATCCAATTATATATAAATTGTATGTATATATATGTATGTATGTGTGTACTGCACTTATGAGTTTATAGTTTATCACGTCTAGACGCGCGTTTTTATTAGCTACAAATAGTTTATAATGCAACAAACGAGACTCGCACAGAGATATGAGTGTAATTATATATAAAGAAA